CATGAGCACACTCGCTGAAATTTGATTGTCTATTTTCCAGTTTCTACACCTCCTTCGTGGCTCCCCCTACCCCTCCATGGGGCTTGAACTCTGGGCCTGGGCGCTGTCCCTCAGCTCTTCAGCTCAAGGCTAGCGCTCTACCACTTGAGCCACAGCGCCACTTCCAGTTTTTGAGTGGTTAATTGGAGATCAGAGTCTCACGGCCTTTCCTGCCCGGGCTGGCTTTGAACCGTGATCCTCGGATCTCAGCCTCCTGAGTAGCCAGGATGACAGGCGTGAGCCAGCAGTGCCTGACCACATAAATGTTATTTAGCCTTAAAAAGGAAGAGGCTGGCTCGGTGTGGCTGTGTGTGTCTGTGCTCCTAGACCTGGGAGGCGGCCTGCGGCCTGCGTGGCAGCCCCTCCACTGCTCCTCCTCCTGGCCCTGGAGGCCCGTCGGGACTCCGCCCCAAGGACAGATTCCGTCTGTGCCCACTGTGAGCCTGCGGGCCGCCTCAGCGTGGGCGGTCCACAGTCGTTGCCCAACACACACAAGCCAAGAGCATGGCACCGCGCTGCCCGGTGCAGGGCTGGAGGGTGGGGGCAGGTCTGCGCCCGTGCAGGGCTGGAGGGTGGGGGCAGGTCTGCCCCGTGCAGGGCTGGAGGGTGGGGGCAGGTCTGCGCCGTGCAGGGCTGGAGGGTGGGGGCAGGTCTGCGCCTGTGCAGGGCTGGAGGGTGGGGGCAGGTCTGCACCCGTGCAGGGCTGGAGGGTGGGGGCAGGTCTGCCCCGGGCAGGGCTGGAGGGTGGGGGCAGGTCTGCGCCCGTGCAGGGCTGGAGGGTGGGGGCAGGTCTGCGCCCGTGCAGGGCTGGAGGGTGGGAGCAGGTCTGCCCCGTGCAGGGCTGGAGGGTGGGGGCAGGTCTGCCCCGTGCAGGGCTGGAGGGTGGGGGCAGGTCTGTGGGCCGGTGAAAGCCACGGGGGCGTAGCTGGTGGAGGGCGAGGCCTGGGGCACCCACCTTTGAAGAACACGATCTTGTGGTCACTGGTGCGCTCGTACACGGCGTCCACGCTGTCCAGGTGCAGCGGCAGGCCTCGCCAGAAGCGGTGCATCTGAGCCGGCCGCAGGGACACCAGGTGCCGGTCCCTTGTCAGGCGCCAGAAGTACTTGCCTGAGGGGCAGACGGGAAGTGGCTGGGGGCGGGCCGTCCCCCCCATCCCCGTCCCTCCAAGGCCTGAGGGGCAGACGGGAAGTGGCTGGGGGCGGGCCGTCCCTCTGAGGTCTGCCCTGGTTCCCCTTTCCCTCCCCCTCCCCCCTCCAACCCCCCCAGCCCTCCGAGATCTGACCCCCTGCCCCTGGACCCTGCATTACCTTTGAAGAAGAAGGCTTCCCCGCGGATCTGGGCCACAGCATCGAAGTGCGCAGTGCACCTGTGAGGCACGTCCGTCCTCAGCCTGTGGGCACAGAGCCAGCACTGGGGTCAGGGGTCCCGAACCCAGAACCTCAGGTGTGGATAACTCTCATGGGCTTGGCCAGACAGCAGTCAGTGGAGAGAGATGAGCCAGAACCAGAACCTCCTGCCACTTCCCAAGCAATAGAGGTCCAACCCCTGCACACAGAGCAGCATGCACACTGTGGGCAGGTCTAACCTCAGTGCACCGCGGGCAGGTCTAACCTCGGCACACTGCGGGCAGCTCTAACCTCAGCACACCACAAGCAGGTCTAACCTCGGCACACTGTGGGCAGCTCTAACCTCGGTGCACCGCAGGCAGGTCTAACCTTGGTGCACCGCGGGCAGGTCTAACCTTGGTACACCGCGGGCAGGTCTAACCTTGGCACACTGCGGGCAGGTCTAACCTCGGCACACTGCGGGCAGCTCTAACCTCGGTGCACCGCGGGCAGGTCTAACCTCGGCACACAGTGCAGCATGCACACCATGGGCAGGTCTAACCTCGGTGCACCGCAGGCAGGTCTAACCTTGGCACACCGCGGGCAGCTCTAACCTCGGTGCACCGTGGGCAGGTCTAACCTTGGCACACTGCAGGCAGATCTAATCTCGGCACACAGTGCAGCATGCACACCATGGGCAGGTCTAACCTCGGCACACAGCAGTGCACCACAGCTGGAGACCCCCAGGGGCGGTCTGGGTTCTGTACACCACGGTGGTGCTGAATGGGAGCCTGGGACCCAACTCCAGGTTCCCAACACAGCCCAGAAAAGGAATGGTAGCAACGCTGCGGGGGAGGGGGCATGCAGGGGTGCGTGGGGGGGAACAGGGCACGTGCGTGTCTTCAGGATGGTGAGCATGTGCTGGGGAGGAGGAGGGGGTGTGCATGGGGGGGGGGGGGGGGGGGGGGGGGGGGGGGGGGGGGGGGGGGATCAGGGCACATGCGGTCTGGTCTTCAGGATGGTGAGTGCACCGGGGAGGAGGAGGGGGCGTGTTCTGGGGAGGAGGAGAGGGCATGCAGGGGTGTGCAGTGGGGGGGAGGGAGAGTGGGGGAGGAACAGGGCATGTGCGGGTCTTCAGGATGGTGAGCGTGTTCTGTGGAGGAGAAGGGGGCGTGTTCTGTGGAGGAGGAAGGGGTGTGCAGGGGTGCAGTGGGGGGAACAGGGCACGTGCAGGTCCAGCCGGCACCCAGTGAGGCTTTGCGCAGCTGGGCCCGGCTGTGGGGCTCTGGCTTACGGGGTGCTGGAGCGGTTTTCAGGGGGCTCTGGCAGCAAGGGGGGCTCCTCAGGCTCCGGAGTGTCAAGCTGTGCCGTGGGGGACACGGACTCACGTACACCTGTGGGGACCAGGAGACAAAAGTGGAAAGGCCCCCCGCCCGCCCGCCCGCCCGCCCCTCCCCGGGGACCCCACAGAACCAAGCCTGGCCCCGGCCCCGGCTCTCAGTGGGGTAGCCCGGCCAGCACACCCAGCAATGCAGAGGCCCTGGGAGCTAGGGGTACATGCCAGGCCAGCCGCGGTCCCCCCTTCCCCCCCTCCTGGAACAGGGCAGGGAGCAAGACCCCTGTACACAGAGAGGCCCAGGCCGAGCGCCCACCGTGTGTGGCCGCCAGGGGCGCGTCCCCCGCGGGCGCCAGGCTCACCGTACAGCTGCCAGGCGCGCACCCGGTCCTCATAGGGCAGCCCGTAGCGCAGGGGGTCCCCCACGGGGCCTCGGTAGTAAGGCTGCATGATGGAGCTGGAGGCGGCCACGTGGCTCAGCCCGATGGCGTGGCCGAACTCGTGGACGGCCACCGCAAACAGGTCCATCCCGTGGGAGTCTGGGGACAGCGGCCGTGAGGCGGCGGCCAGCGCCTCCCCTGGCCGCAGTCCGTCCCCCCGGGGGCCTATACTCTCGTGTCGGGGAGGCGGCCGGGGCCGACACCGGGGCCCTGGGTCAAAGGTGAGCTGGGCAGGCAGTGTGGAGCAGTGCCATCCACGGACGGGTGAGGCCCGTGGCACGGGCACCACCAGAACAAAACGGGGCACAGCAGGTCTCGGGACCCCCAGGCCCGCACTGCCTACGCCGCAGCCCGGGGGGCTGTGTTGGGCCCCGTCTGCCTCTCCTCCCGCAGAGCTGTGGCGTCCTGCCTGCGTGGCATCGGGCTGTGGGCGGGCAGGGGCGCGTCAGCCCCACGCACACACCTACCTGAGGAGCGAAAGGTCCAGGTCTCGTCATCGTCGAAGTGTGCGTCTCCCGCGGCGCGGTGGTCCCCGGGGAAGAAGGCGTGGGCCACGGTGCCTCCCGGGCCGTCGAAGGGGTAGCGGTCCTCGTGCTCAGCCCTGGAGAAGTCGATCTGGATGTCGGCAGCGTTGCCGGCCACCTCGTGGAAGTTCAAGGGTGTGATGTCGCTCCAGACTTTGAGGGCGTAGTACATGAGTGCACGCACGGTGTCCCGGCCCAGCGGGGAGTCCCGGGGGAAAGTCCGGACTCTAGGGTGGGGGTCAGGAAAGAGGTCAAGCGGGCCGCCCCGACCTCTCTGGGACCAGCGCCTGCGCTATGTCTGGGTGTACATGTGGACATGCACCCAACTGTCTTTTCCTCCGGTCCCCAGGTGCCAGGCCCAGCGCCTGGCAAGGACCAGGGACATGGCCCCCGCATACGGGGGGGGGCGGGGGCGTCCTGGGGCTGGGACGCCGGGGCAGGGAGTGTCAGCATTCTGGAGGTACCAGTCCATTAGCCCCGGGCCCAGCCTCACCCCAGGGGGCTGCCCTGAGCTGGCAGCGGCCCCGGTCCAGCCAGCTGTGCCACAGGGGCTCACACTGGACCAGGCTGTGTGTCCTCGGGAGAGGGAGCAGCCGGAGCTCTGGGACGGAGCGAGTCACACGTGGACAAAAGCACAGGGAGGCAGAGTTGCCTCGGTCCTGTCCCTCCCACATCGCGTCTCAGGGTCCCGGCTCAGAGTCCTGGGCGCTCACGGTGGGCTCAGGCCTGCGAGGCCCCGGCTCAGAGTCCCGGGCGCTCACGGAGGGCTCAGGCCTGCGAGGCCCCGGCTCAGAGTCCCGGGCACTCACGGA